GTGACAGTTTTATTCTAAAAAAGTGTTTTCGATTGATAGTTTTCTTATAGAAATGTGTCTTTGAATGACAGTGTTCATAAAGAAATGATTCTTTGAATGACAGTTTAGCTAAAGAAGTCTATTGAAATGGTAGTTTTCTTACAGAAAAGTATTTTTGATATGATGATTTTTTAAAGAAAAGTGCCATAATAACAGTTTCTTTCTTTGAAAGAAATTTTTCTTATAGACAAGTGTTTTCGATATGAGAGTTTTCTTATAGAAATATGTCTTGGATAGTTGTCATATATAAAAGAATCTTTGAAAAACAGTTTTCTTATAGAAAATTTCTCTATAGAAAATTAACTTTAAAAGTGTCTTCGAGCAGCTTTCTTAAGGAAAATGTTCTTTAAAAGACAGTATATATAACTATAATCTATTATTATTTCTGCCTTTAAATTCCAAGGAAAAAATCTACTACAACAACAACAAAAGTGTACATATTTTTAAACAAAAAGTAACTTAAAACTAAAAGCAGGAGGAAGAGGAAAAAAAATATGGTCAATATCTAAGATTATATTAAAATGACATGAAGTGAACTTTAAAAAATCATTTCTTTCACATAAAATTTTTTAACAAGCTTTAACATGGTTAAGCAGCAAAAAAATCTCAAAAAAAAAGAAAAGAATAAAACTAAAATAGTCTGTATAACGAAAAATTTATAATAACAAGGACATATTACAAGAACATCTCTGGCAACACAACACAAATATTTACTACGTGTGATGTATAGAGCACACGTACTAAAATAAACTGTACTGCAAGCAAAAAAAAGGAACAAAATATTCTTTATGTGATTTTAAATATGTGAAAAGTATTCACAACTAGGAACAGTATTATAGGAAAACAATTGTTGTAAGTACGAGTATGTGTTATTCGTTCTTTGTATTATCAGATTTAAATCTAAACTAGAAGAGATGTTTTTTTTTTTTTTTTTTTGGTTTTGCTGTTTAGTTTTTACGCTGGCATACTACATGCTGGAATATATAGAACAATAGTTTTATTTTAGTTCCAGCCATGCGTTCTAATTTAATGAACACAAATTGAAATATAACCATAAAAGGTAATTTTTACCACACACATTGTTTTTTTCCATTTTTTTGGTTTGTTTTTTTGTCTATACCATATGATAACATAAGGATCATCAATTGTACATAAGTAGTGGAGTTACATTTATACCTTTAGAGCCTTTGTAGCTATGAGATTTTCTTTTTCTGTTAGCATATTTTTGTTTAGTTTGATTTTAACAATTTAAATTGTATTTACTTTTTTTTCCTTTTCAGTTTTTACTATAAATTGCAAATATTTTGCATATGAAGTTGCCTTAACAATAATTCTAATTAACTCCCTTGTTTTGTTGTTTCTCTTAAACAAAAGAAAACTATGCGTGTTGTAAATTGTATCAGTGCTTTTTTTTTTGTATTTGGCCTCAAAATCAATATAAAGAAATAATATGGACAGAAAAAAGTTATTTTTAAACCTTTAAGAGTCAAAGTTTTTAAAACTATATTGCAGATGTTTTAAATATCTTCGTAAGAATGGATTTTTATAGAAATATTTCTACGAAAGGTAGTTTTTTTGTAAGAAATCTTTAGACTGTTTCTTTATAGAAAATTCTAAAATTTTTAAATACAGTTTTATTAAATACATTTTTTTATAGAAAAGTATTTTAGAAAGACAGTTTTCTTATAGAAAAGTGCCTTTGAAAGGAAGTTTTCTTATAGAAAAGTGCCTTTGAAAGAAAGATTTCTTATAGAAACGTGTCTTGGAAAGATAGTTTTCTTATAAAAAGTGCCTTGAAAGACTGTTTTTTTATAAAAAAGTGTCTTCGAAGGACAGTTTTCTTACAAAAAGTGTCTTCGAAGGACAGTTTTCTTATAGAAAAGTGTCTTTGAAGCACAGTTTTCTTATAGAAAAGTGTCTTCGAAGGACAATTTTCTTATAGAAAAGTGTTTTTGAAGGACAGTTTTCTTATAGAAAACTTTAGACTGTTTCTTTATAGAAAATTCTAAAATTTTTAAATGCAGTTTTATTAAATACATTTTTTATAGACAAATATTTTAGAAACACTGTTTTCTTATAGAAAAGTACCTTTGAAAGGAAATTTTCTTATAGAAAAGTTCCTTTGAAATGAAGTTTTCTTATAGAAAAGTGGCTTCGAAAGACAGTTTTCTTATAGAAAAATGCCTTTGAAACACAGTTTTCTTATAAATAAGTGTCTTCGAAGGACAATTTTCTTATAGAAAAGTCTCTTTGAAGGACAGTTTTCTTATAGAAAAGTTTCTTCAAACAACAGTTTTTTTTATAGAAAAGTTTCTTCAAAGGACAGTTTTCTTATAGAAAAATGTCTACCAAAGACTGTTTTCTTATAGAAAAGTGACTTCGAAAGACAACCTTCAAATTGGTTTAAAAGCAGTGTTCTATAGATAGGTATCTTCGAGATGCAGTTTTCTTACAGCAAAGTGTCATTGGAAGACAGTTTTCTAATAGAAAAGTGTTTGGAAAGATTTCTATATATAAGTGTCTTGGAAAAACAGATTTCGTTTAGAATATTGACAGAAAAGTGTCTTTGAAAGGCAGCTTTTCTATAGAAAAATGTCTTGAAAAGGCAGTTTTTGTATAGAAAAGTGTTTTGGAAAGGCAGTTTTTGTATAGAAAAATGTGTTGGAAACGCAGTTTTCGTATAGAAATGTGTGTTAAAAAGATAGTTTTCTTATGGAGAAGTGTCTTGGAAAGATAGTTTTCGTATAGAAGTGTCTTGGGAAGACAGTTTTCGTATTGAAAAGTGTCTAGGGAAGACAGTTTAAAAACAGTAATCTATAGATAGGTGTCTTCGAGATGCAGTTTTCTTAGAGCAAAGTGTAATTGGAAGACAGTTTTCTAATAGAAAAGTGTTTTGGAAAGACTTCTATATATAAGTGTCTTGTCATATAGAATATTGACAGAATAGTGTCTTGGAAAGACAGTTTTCGTATAGAAAAGTGTCTTGGAAAGGCAGTTTTTGTATAGAAAAGTGTATTGGAAAAACAGTTTTCGTATAGAAAAGTGTGTTGGAAAGATAGTTTTCTTATGGAGAAGTGCCTTGAAAGGACAGTTTTCGTATAGAAGTGTCTTGGGAAGACAGTTTTCGTATTGAAAAGTGTCTAACGAAGACAGTTTTCGCATACAAAAGTGTGTTGGGAAGACAGTTTTCGTATAGAAAAGTGTGTTGGAAAAATAGTTTTCCTATAGAAAATTGTTTTAGAAAAATATGTGTCGTATAGAAAAAAGTCTTATAATGACAGCTTTCTCATAGACAAGTGTTTTCAAAAGACAGTTTTGTTATAGAAAATTATCTACAGTTTTCTTATAGGAAAGAATGTATTTCCATTGTTGGTGCATATTTCTTTATGCTAAAGACCCTCGATACTCATTAAAGGGTTAAGTGCACGTGTTTCTCGTTTTTTTTTTTTAACATCTTGCAAAATGAACAAAACAAATATTTTCCGTTATTATATTTCGTTAAACAAGCACTATCAATAGAAATCCACCAAAAAAAATATATATATACCATATTTTCTCTAATGTTGTTTTGTCATGTTTTGCAATTAAATAAAAATATGCTTTATATTTATTTTTAAACAAACAAAAGTCAAATAATAGAAAAATTAAAAAAAAAAAAAAAAAAAACAGATATGTTGCATATGTTGCTAGTGTGGTGGTAGTGTTGTGTTGCATGATAATCATAACAACAATTGGCAATTGTTGTAACATTGCACCTTTTTTTGAAGTTAGTGATATTGTTGTTGTTGCTGTTATTGCTAAAGTTTTTAGCTGTGGCCACAGATAGACCACCAAAGTTAAAGTATGTGTTTATGTTTTTTTTTTTCATTCCACATTTCCTAGTCGATCTGTTTAGGCTGCTGTTTTAGTATTTGGTTTTTAATTTTGTTGTTGTTTTTTTTTCTCTAGCCATTGCCATTATTTTAGTCTATTTTTGTTTTTCCTTATTGCATGTGCGTTTAGTTTGTTATTGTACTCGATATGGCAGAAAACCATGAAAATTACATTGCTAGGGGTTACCATTTGCTATGCAAATTCTTGCTTATATATGATGCGGTTTAATTTTTTTTTCCTCAATTTTATTTTAGTTGCTCTTATAACTTGGACTGCTTCTATGTTATGTTTTTTTTTTCTGTTTGCTTTTCAGTTTGTGTGTTGGAAGCTATAAGAAAACTAAAGTAACGAAAAAAAAGTTCATGGGAGTGATATTGAAATATGGTCATATACTTAAGGCATTAAGATCAGGTTTAAAATACAGAATTATACATAACAAATATGTTTTTTTTTGTCTGCTAACTAAACAAAATGTACAAAATGAAAAAAAAAAAAAATAGAAATTAGATATTCATCTTGTTGCTTTGGCAATATAAGCTCAACAAACAAGAAAAACAAATCAAAAAAATTTTTAGATAGCTAAAGACATATTTATTAAAAAATGGTAAATATTATTTGGGGTTTCTTTTTAACAACATAGAATTTATTTTTAAAGTTTAGCTATTTTCAAATGATAGGTGCTCTTAAGGTAATTATAGTTTTATTTATAACATCAAATTTAAAAGTCGAAATTTATGTCAAAAGGAGGTACTAATAAGTACCAAAAATTTTACATAATTTGGATTCCTGTTTGCATAAAAAATTTCAAAATGTACCACCAGTAAGAAACTAAACTTATTTTTGAAGTAAACTCACTGGAGTTACGGCTTATTGTGAACAAGTCATCAAAAAAACGTATACTTATATATAGGATGGACGGACAGATGATAAACAGACGGACGGACAGATAGATATGGCATAAATGATCATGAAATAAGTATAAACAGATGGACAAAATTTTTACGTTGCTGGCAAAATAATTTTAATATAACGAATTTAATATCTTCCTTATAAAAACTTTCAATTGATTATTTCTTTCTCTTTTCCAGGATCTCCTCCCTTAACCGGTACTGGCATTGTTAAAGTCATAGTTCAAGATATGAACGATCACAGTCCAGAGTTTGAGCGTCAATCCTATCATGCAACTGTACAGGAAAATCAAGCCATAGGTACCAAAGTCATACAACCCATAGCCATTGACAAAGATGCTGGACTTAATGCTAAAATACGTTTTACACTGCTGGGAGAAAAACTGGAAAGATTTCATTGTAATGCCGAAACTGGTGAAATAACTACGGCTGCTATATTGGATAGAGAAGAAACAGCTGTATATTTTCTTACTCTAATGGCTCAAGATAGTTCTGCTACAGAACCACGTGCTACCGCCGTTAACTTGACTATAAGTGTGCGAGATGTCAACGATAATATGCCACGATTTGAGGCCAATCAATATCATGTTAATATACCCGATAAGACCGGTCAAAATGAGTTTGTGTTTGGAGCTTGGGCTCGAGATAATGACGAGGGTCTTAATGCTTTAGTTATGTATAATATCAGTGGTAAAGATGTGGAGTATTTTACGATTAATGCCAAAACTGGTGTTATTAAAACTAAACAAAATTTGGGTTCAGATTTGAATAGACAATATTCTTTAGTGATTCATGCTTACGATCAAGGCATTCCCTCAAAATCCTCTCAATCAGATCTAATGATATCGATGAAACCTTCTTCCTCTTTTCCGTCCTTCAACTACATGGCAAATACCCAATTTATGTTGTCGGAAGATGTGGCGCCGGGAAAAAAGATAACCACCATTACAGCATCATCACCCAAAAAAGGTTCGGCTGGTAATATTAGATATTCCATTGCTGGTGGTAATTTGGGAGAAGCGGTAAGAATTGATTCAACTACAGGAGTGGTTACTATAGGAAAAGATGGTTTGGACTATGAGCTGGCTTCTCAATATGAAATTTGGTTAGAAGCTTTAGACTCGGATCGTTTGCCTTTAAGAAGTGTTATGCTTTTAACTATTAATGTTACCGATGCCAATGACAATGCTCCCGTCATGGAAAAGCTCATTTATAATGCTGAAGTTATGGAAGAAGAATCGCCTCCACAAACGATTGTTAAAGTTAAGGCAAATGATCGTGATTCTGGGGATAATGGTGAGGTAACTTATCGCTTGTTAGATGATTTTGAGGGTACATTTGAAATTGATGCCGACTCCGGTGAGATTTACACCACCATGCGCTTGGATCGTGAAGAAATAAGTCATTATGAACTAACCGTGGAAGCTGTTGATCAGGGTATGCCGCAGTTAACTGGTTCGGCTACTGTTCTCCTTAATCTACTCGATAAAAATGACAACCCTCCCAAATTTACCCGACTATTTTCGGTTAATGTCACTGAAAATGCCGAAATTGGCAGTTTTGTTATACAAGTAACCTCCATGGATCTGGATGAAGGCGTTAATGCTAATGCCATTTATACTTTAACAGAAAATCCTGGTGAAAAATTCAAATTAGATTCTGTAAGTGGTAATATTACCGTTAACGGTCATATTGATCGTGAAGAACAAGATGAATATATTTTGAAGATAACTGCCTCAGATGGTGCCTGGAGATCGGATACTCCCATTACCATAACAATACAAGATCAAAATGATAATGCACCAGAATTTGAGCGTGGCTTTTATAGTTTCAACTTCCCAGAATTACAGAGAGCAGTGGCATTTGTTGGACAGGTGGTGGCCAATGATAGAGACAAACATGGTCCTAATTCGGTTATATCATTTTCTCTGCAACATCCTTCTGATATTTTCACTATAGATCCTGCCACGGGAGAAATATTTAGCAAGAAATCCATTAAATATAAACACTCACAATATGAAGCCTCACCGGAAAATGTTTATACCTTAACAGTTGTAGCTACAGACAATGGAAAACCACCTTTATATTCAGAATGTATGATTAACATAAACATAGTCGATGCTAATAATCATGCTCCTAAATTTGAAAAATCATTGTATTTATCTCCGGTGCCTGAACATGCCCGTGTTGGCCAAAGGGTGGTAAGAGTACAGGCTCACGATTCTCTAGATACGGGAGTGAATGCAGAAATAGAATATTCGTTTAAGCAAGGTAACGGTACCGACTTCTTTAGCATCAGTCATCAAGATGGTTGGATTTCGCTATCCAAAGCCTTAGAAGTGACACCCAATACATTGTTCTATCTAATTGTAAAGGCATCTGATCATGGTGTACCCTCGAAAAGTGATGAAACTCGTGTTCATATTATTGTTACTGGTGAAAATCGCTATTTACCAGAATTCACCGCTTTAAGTTATCAGGTAATAGTGCCAGAAAATGAACCTATAGGTTCAACAATATTAACAGTATCTGCGACGGATAGAGATGAAGGACCGAATGGCATGTTACGCTACGCCATAGCAGGCGGTAATGAAAGATCTGAATTCAAAGTGGATGCTGAAACTGGAGCTGTTATAATATTACAACCTTTGGATTATGATTCCATACAAGAATATCACTTAAACATTTCAGTACAAGATCTAGGTTTTAAACCCAAAACAGCAGTGGCCCAGCTCACCGTAATACTCACTGATATCAATGACAATCCTCCTCTGTTCAATCAATCTGAATATCATGCTTTTATATCCGAAAACAAACCCGCTCATAGTTATGTTTTCAAAGCTCGAGCTAAAGATAAGGACTCTCCCAAAAATGCCATTATAAGATACTCCATAACATCGGGTTCGGGTAAGAATTTCTTTGCCATCAATCCAAACACCGGAGTAATAACATCTTCGGTTAGTTTTGATTATGAAGAAAGAAACGAATATACTTTACAAGTAATGGCCGCCAATCCAGATTCACAAATGCATAGTATGTGCAAAATTATTGTACACATTAGAGGTGTCAATGAATTTTATCCACAATTTGTGCAACCAGTTTTTCATTTTGATGTTTCGGAGTCTGCAGAAGTTGGAACTCCCGTGGGTTCGATACAAGCTACTGACAAAGATGCAGGAGAAGATGGTAATGTTTACTATTTATTGGTGGGTTCCAGTAATGATAAAGGGTTTTCTATCAATCCCTCAACTGGCTTTATATACGTTTCTCGTCACTTGGATCGTGAAACTCAAAGTCGTGCTGTTTTAACGGTGATGGCTAAAAACTATGGCAGCATACGTGGCAATGATACCGATGAAGCTCAAGTTATTATATCCATACAGGACGGCAATGATCCTCCAGAATTCCTTAAGTCTTTGTATATGGCCAAAATTTCTGAAGCTGCTGCAGTGGGTAGTAAAGTGGTAAATGTTAAGGCTGTTGACAAGGATGTTAGACCACAAAATAATCAATTCAGCTATTCCATTATTAATGGCAACATCAATCAAACCTTTAAAGTAGATCCACAAACTGGAGAAATTGCTACTTCCAAGAAACTGGATCGGGAACAAGTACCAGAATATAATTTGGTAGTGGGCGCAATAGATACTGGTTTACCTCCTCAAACTGGTACCACTATGGTTAGAATTGAGCTACTGGATGTTAACGACAATGGTCCTACATTCCCCAATGATGGTTTAATTGGTTATATTTCTGAAAATGAACCAGCTGGCACCTCAATAATGACACTCTCAGCCACGGATCCCGACTTACCACCAAACGGTGGTCCTTTTATGTACTATTTAATAGGAGGTAAACATAAGGCATTCATAACCATAGACAAACATTCAGGTTTAGTGAAATCAACACGAAGTTTTGATCGCGAACAAACACCGGAATTAGAAGCCATCATAGAAGTGGAAGATAATGGTCAACCCAAACAAAAGGCCCAACACAAATTGATTATAAAAGTATTGGATCAAAATGATAGTCCTTCATCCTCACGCACAGTACATGTACTACTAAATGTCTTTAATGACAATATGCCCATTGGAAAGATAGCAGATGTACATCCGAATGATGCTGATGTAACTGGCAACTATAGATGTCGTATAATACCTAGTTCGCAGTCTAGTCACATGGGGTTGTTGATCATACCGAATGCCTGCGATTTACATACTACTTACCAAACTTCAGTGAACAATGGTTACTCCTATTCCATATCGGGTAATGATGGTAAACATGGTGATGTGGTTTCCACAGTAACCGTTGGTTTCCAAAATTTCGACAACAGTACTATAGCCAATTCCATTACGGTACTTATACGCAACATGACGGCCGAAAACTTTTTGGCTTCTTACTACCGTAACTTTGTAGATCTTATGAAATCAGCTGTAGATTCTTCAGAAAACTTATTGGTTTATAGTGTGCGTAATACTACTTATAATTCTACCGATTTAGAGGTTATGATTGCTTTAAAAATGGCTAATCAAGGTTATCGCTTGCCACACTACTTAGTGGATCGCCTGAGCAAGAAACGTGAAGCTGTTACCAGACTGCTAAAGACGGCCACCAATGTGGTTATCGGTTATGATCCCTGTTCATTTGCTCAGGCCTGTGATAATGGTGGTTTATGCACCTCTGAGAGAAGATTACATGATTCAGAAACATTGAATATTGTCGACAGTGAATCTTTAATCTTTAGTGGACCTTTGGTAACACATGATTTCGTCTGTAAATGTCCAGATGGTTTTATGGGTCAACAATGTGATAAAAGACAAGATCCTTGTGCTCCAAATCCATGTCATGGTAATGCTCAATGCCGTCGTTTGGGTTACGATTTCCAATGTAATTGCCCGGCCAATCGTGAAGGAAAGTACTGCCAGCAGGAAAGAGGTGATGTCTGCTCCGGTAACCCTTGCAGTAATGGTGGTTCATGCCGTTCTAGTCCCGATGGCTCTTCATTCTTCTGCCTCTGTCGTCCAGGTTACCGTGGTAATCAATGTGAGCATGTAGCTGATTCCTGTCGACCAAATCCTTGTCTACATGGTGGCGTTTGTGTGGCCCTAAAGCCTGGTTATAAATGTACCTGTTCGGAGGGTCGCTATGGTAGACATTGTGAGAAGACTACATTTGGTTTTGGTGATTTGTCGTTCATGACTTTCCCACCTTTGGATGCAGCAACCAATGACATTTCAATAGTATTTGCTACAACAAAACCGGATGCTTTACTAATGTATAACTATGGTATACAATCTGGAGGAAGATCTGATTTCGTAGCAATTGAGGTGGTAAGAGGAAAAGCATTCTTCTCATTTGGCGGTGCTCGTACTGCCATAACAACTGTGGTGGTGGGTGGTAGCAGTCAGTTGAATTTGGCTGATGGTAATTGGCATAAAGTTACGGCTACACGCAATGGTCGTGTGATGTCTCTAAGTGTGGCCAATTGTGTAGAAAATGGCGATGTATGTGAAGAATGTCGTCCTGGAGATACTACATGCTATGCTGACGATGTGGGTCCTATAGGGTAAGTATTTTATCACACATTTTAACACAAATTGAGAACTAATAATTGTTATTTTTTAGAACACTTAATTTCAACAAGCAGCCATTACTGTTGGGAGGTCTTATATCTGCAGATCCTGTTTTAGAGCGCCCTGGCCAATTGCACACCGACGATTTGGTTGGTTGTGTTCATAGTGTTTCTGTTAACGGTCGCGCTCTTAATCTTAGTCAACCTCTTAAGCAGAGATCTATATCAATAACCTGTAACCGCAATCTGAATGGTGGCCCTTGTATACAATCGACCAATACAGATCTAACTGCAAATCTTTGTGGTCCTTTCGGTAGTTGCATGGATCGCTGGGATACGGCTATGTGTCAATGTGGTGGTAGTCTACTTTCGCCTGATTGCCAGAATTCTTTGGAACCCATTAGTATAACTGATGGCGCCTTTATAGAATTCAAAATCACCGAAAAGCATAGACGCATGCAGTTGTTGGACAATCTATATGCGGGTAATAGCATTTGGTCGTATGACATCTCAAGACAACGCAGATTTACCATTGATCATGACAATTTAACCGCCTTGGCTCAAACCAATGAACTTCCTAAGACCCTAAGTTTAATGTTCCGCACTTACAAGGATAATGGTCTGCTACTTTTTGCGGCTAGTAATAATCATTATACTTCCTTGGAACTACAAAATGGTAAAATGGTGTATTACTCCAATCAAGATAGTATAGTCAATATGACCATTAGTAATCCAGCCAAACTAAACGATGGCAAATGGCATAATATAACTCTACACTCGGTAAATCGCATTTTACGCATTATAATCGATGATGCTCGTGCCGGAGAGGAATTAGATTTTGCCGGCGTTCATGATTATTTGGATCCATATTTAACGGTTTTGTCTGTCGGTGGTGTTCGAAGGGAATATCTACTACAAGAACACATGCCCACGAACTATGAAGGTTGTTTTGCGAACTTCACTATCAATAACGAAATACAACCCTTCAACGGTTCCGGCAGTGTATTCAGTGAAGTATTGTCACGTGGAAAAATTACTCATGGTTGTGCTGGTGTCATGGGTATTGGTGCCGCCCAAGTTGCTGATCCTATTAGCATAGGTGTTACTCTTGTAATAGTATTCTTTGTTATATTGGTTGTTGCAATTTTGGGCTCCTACGTCATCTATCGTTTCCGTGGTAAGCAAGAAAAAATTGGCAGTTTAAGTTGTGGTGTTCCTGGATTTAAAATCAAACATAATCCTCCTTCTACCATGTTAGGTGGTGCTGGAGTTTCACAAAATCCTGCCGATCATGTTTTGTCCAGAGGTATGCATGGCAATGAAGCTCAAGTGGGTTATCACAATGATAACGGTGATTTGATCAGAAGTGTTCCGGGTCATCATATGGTAGGTCCCGAATTGATTTCGAAAAAGTTCAAAGAACGAGAAATTAATCCCGGAGAACATCAGCAGCAAAGACCTCAAAGACCAGACATAATTGAAAGGGAGGTGGTAAGTAAAAGTCCCCCTCTACGTGATGAACATCACCCACCCATACCACCACCTAGTCAATCACATCATCCCCATGATCATGCCAGTTCTGTAGATATGGGCTCTGAGTATCCAGAGCATTACGATTTAGAAAATGCCAGTTCTATAGCTCCTTCCGATATAGATATTGTGTATCACTACAAAGGTTATCGGGAGGCTGGAGGAGTTCGTAAATATAAAGCTACTCCAGCTCCTGTAGCCTCTTATACCCATCATAAACACCAGTCAGCAGCAGCACAACAGCAACATCGACATTCTCCCAGACATGGTGTTGGAGGACCATTTGTGCCACGCGGAGTTCCCCCACAAGCTAATCAACCGCCACCACCTTCTAGTACTCCTAGACAGCACCAAAGTACACCATTAGCGAGACTATCACCCAGTTCTGAATTGAGTTCTCAACAGCCGAGAATATTAACATTGCATGATATTTCCGGTAAACCTCTACAAAGTGCCCTTTTGGCTACTACTTCCAGTTCGGGAGGCGTTGGAAAAGATGCTTTGCACAGCAATAGTGAGAGAAGTCTAAATAGTCCAGTAATGTCACAACTCTCGGGCCAAAGTTCGAGTGCAAGTCGACAAAAACCAGTAGTATCGGCTCAAACTGCCTCACAAGCCCCCATGGGTTTGACAGCCGAAGAAATTGAACGTTTAAATGCCAGACCTAGAACATCAAGTTTAGTCTCTACACTCGATGCGGTATCATCAAGCAGTGAAGCACCCAGAGGACCTGTGGGAGCACACCATTTATCATTGGGTGGTGGTTTACATAGTACAGATGTCGATGCGCACAGTTCCACATCCACCGATGAAAGCGGTAATGACAGTTTTACTTGTTCAGAAATCGAATATGACAACAACAGCATTAATGGAGATGCCAAATTTTCCACCAGCAAAAGTATACCCGATGAACGTAATCCCGTAGGCCGAGCCATGAGTGGTGATGGTAGCAGAGGTTCAGCGGTAGCTAAGGCTCCTCCCATGCCTCCGCATTCATTTGATGGTTTCGATTCCTCTTTCCGGGGATCACTTAGTACTTTGGTAGCCAGCGATGATGATGTATCAACACATATGGGTGCTTTATATAGACAAGTCAACAGTGCAGCTTCACCCACAGCCCCGCCACCCATGGGTTGGGAATATTTACTAAATTGGGGTCCGAATTTTGAAAGTTTAGTAGGAGTATTTAAAGATATAGCCGAATTGCCAGATAATGTAGGATCTGATCAAAGAGCCACAGGATCATTGAGAATGAATCAGGGTCAAAATAAACAATCAGAGGAATATGTTTAAGGGAGATAAAAAGTTTGGCAGAGATTAATATTTATAGAAATAGTCAAGGTATTTTGGAGAGTAAAGCTTTAAAGAGAATTTAAAATTGAAATTGCTAAACAGAAAGAGAAATAGTTAAAGAGAAAGAAAAATTTAAAATAAGATATACATAGAATAGCAACAAAATGCTGTGTTAACTGTTTTTTGCACTTAGTAATAGTATTAGTTTAGGTTTTATTAGATTTTATAAAATTTTGTTTAAGCTTTTGTAAATGCGTTTTTATTTATTTTTTCCAATTTTTCTTCTGCCATGTATTTCAAAGAAATCAAAAGTCTTTATAATTCTAAATTAGATCTAAATTTCTTAAAGCCATTTCATTTTAAAATGATCTAAACTAAATTATTTAAAAAAAGTCTTCCATATAAACTAACAGTGCCTTTTAAAAGTAAACGAACAATTTTTTTTTTAACTCAACTTCTTAAACAAAAAGAACTGATCACTAAGATATTATAGATTTATAATTACGAATAAATGTTAAAACTTAACTAAGATTAAATAAAATTAAGTCATTTAGCTGTAATTAAAGAACGTAAAGATTTAAAACAAAACAAGCAACAAATAATGTGTATATGAATCACCTTGTATCAAGGTTTGTGTCCTAAATTATATAGCAATATTCACACATAGCAACAAGCCAAACAAAACAAATAATATTTTCCGAAAAGCAGACAACAAAATAAAAGTTATAGGTTTGTGCATAAGTTTTAGTTTAAAACAATTTCAAATAATAAATCAAAACTATATAAGTTATAAACAACAATTAACTATAGACATTATTAACATTAAGTTAGAATTTATTAATTAAATATAGGAAACTGTAAAAAATCTTTTTAATACTTCACTTTAAGTTTATTTAAACGAATACGAACTTATAAATTCTTAAAAAAATTGTGTGCTATATTATTTTTTTTTTTTTTTTTTGTATAGAACTATAGTTATAAAATATTTTATTTTAAATCATACATTTAGAAATACAAAATCTATAAAAAATCACTTTGTAATTTAATAATTGTTTAAAAAAAAATCTTGCCATAAGGTTTATATAATAATTAGTGCTTAAGCTTTTAACAATATTATTTATATATTTTTTAAATCTAATTTAAAAAAAAAGCTTTAAGTTTCCTTATCCTTTTAGCTTATTTTATGTACGAACAAATTACTTTGTAAAAAAACAAATACTTATCAAAATTTTTCCTTTTTTTATTGTCTCTAAGTTGTTGTATTCAAATTTCTTTAGTTATTACAGTAGTTTTTGTATGAACAAAAAAAAAAAAAGAAAACAATTTTTTTGAATAGTAAACAATTTGTTTTTAGTTTTGTAATAGACTCTATAAACGAATAACAAATTTTTTTCTTAGAAAATAAATAAAAATTTTTTAAAAATAATTTTTTATAAATTTTGTTTTTATTTGGAAAATATGGATGATGCAATGGTATATCCCTTTCACGTACAAAATTAAACCGCAGGACTTTTTATGGATATTACTTCACTACACACTTCATTTTGACGTATAATTGTTGATGAAAAGTGGAAAAAGTGTTTTCGAAGGTTATCGCAGGATATTATCCTTTTTAGCATACACTAATATATTCTAAAAAAATAACTTAGTTTTATTTGGTGATTGACCGGAATGCATAACTAAGAATTAATGAAAATGAGGACTAATCGGCGAATTGCCAGATAATGTAGGATCTGATCAAAAAGCCACATGATCATTGAGAATAAATCAGGGTCAAAATAAACAATCAGAGGAATATGTTTAATGGAGATAGAGAGTTTGGCAGAGATTAATATTTATAGAAATAGTCAAGGTATTTTGGAGAGTAAAGGTCTCTAATAAGCAATTAGTAATCGCTTATTAGAGACTTTATCAAGTATTAACATATTCTGAGATAAAGAGATGTACTACAATCATTCCTCTCAGATCTAATTCACAGATAATTAACCAGAGTTTATACAGACGACTCTAAAAAGGATTATATTTTGTTCAGAAATGTTAGGTATAGAAGGTATGACTTCGTTTATAGAAATAACAAGTAAGAGTGATATAAACGGCTATGCCGAATCTAATATACCCAAAACCGTTTGCCGTAAAATGAATGCTCCCCTACATCATCAGGGTGATATTTGGGATAGGGCTTAACTCAATTATGTAACGAGCTCTTTCGAATAAACAAAATATTAATTTTTAAATACCGATTGTCGTAAAATTTGGTGGAAACATTTCGGTTCATTTATTTGATTAAAATTTCATCGTTGTATTCGCATTTTAAAGGGTTCTATAGTTGAAACGAAAAGTCGACTTTTCGACTTTTTGCATTTTATGAAAAGTCGATTTTTCGAATTTTTTCTTTTAATTAAATGTTGACTTTTAGACTTTTCGACTATAGGTATTTTATAAATAGTCGACTTTTCGACTTTTTCCGACTTTTTTCGACTTTTCGACTTATTGACTATTTTCGACTTTCGAATTTTTTCCGATTATTTTTTTACTTTTTTCGAGTTTTTTCCGACTATTTTAGAGTTTTTGACTTTTTTCCCCTTTTTTTAAAATTTCCGACTATTTTTGACTTTTTTATACAATTTTCGAGTTTTCGACTTTTTCCGACTTTTCGACTTTTTCCGACTTTTTTTCGACTTTTTCCGACTTTTCGACTTTTTACGACTTTTCGACTTTCTTCGACTTTATTCGACTTTTCGACTTTTTTCGACTTATCGACTTTTCGACTTTCCGACTATCAGACTTTTATTAACAAAGTCGACTTTTCTACTTTTTTCACAGACGATAGTCGAGTTATCGAATTTTTTTGAACAAAATTGTCGACTTCGACTTTTCGACTTTTTTCGACAAAAAGTCGATTGTTCGATTATTCGAAAGTCGATTTATAGAACCCTACCATATATCCGGGTATGGTTCATTAAGAACCGATATTTATAAAATATTATACATAGGTTTTGTTTTGTATAGAACTTGTTTATATCGAATTTCATCACTATACTCGTACTTTAACTAAGTAAAACCATTTACCTATATAAGGTTCCATTATATAGGGGCTAGCGTCAGTTATATGTACCTATAAAACTGTTTTATGATGATTTTCATCGCTGTACTTTTCTGAAGGCGCCTTTATATATGAGGGCTAGGTTCAATTATGTTGTGGAGCGATTTCTGTTCTTATAAAAGTTGTTTATGTCGAAATTCAATTATCAATTCAATTATGGAGCGATCCTCACTAAATTTGGTATAGATTAGATAGATAGAGGAACTTACTTATGTAGAATTTCATCGCTATACTAGTATTTTTAAGTCAGTAGTGAGAGTTCCTTAGATTGGAGTATGCTCATAACATGTAGTAGAGAGATCGCAGCTCGTAAGAAACTTACTTATGTCGAATTTCATGGCTATACTCGTACTTTTAGGCCATTAATGAGAGTTAAAGTCATTTTCTGAAGGGGACCTTAAATGGGAGATAGGGTCAATTATGGAGCGATCCTCATTAAATTCAGTATAGAGATCTTGCTCTCAATAAACATACTTATATCGAATTTTCATGGCTATGCTCGTATTTTTAGGTCAGTAAAGAGCATTAAAGTCATTTTCTGAAGGGGACCTTATATAATTATAGACCTATCCTCATAAAATTTGGTAAATAGATTTTGGCTCATACTATTACTATACTATTACAACAATTATGACTGTATGACCTGTTGTTCGAAGGGTCACTTGTATGGAGGCTATGCAAAAACACGGACCGATATTGGTAATTTTCAATACCAAACAAACCTTACCCATAAGAAACATTTGAGGAATTTCAACCCTCTAGCTCTTTCCGTTCGGACTCTATCGTGCTTTCAACAGACAGACAGACGTAGGAACATGGCTAAATCGATTAAGAATTTCACAAGGACCCATTTATTGGGTCTTAGATGATTAGATGGTGTTACACACAGAACGACAAACTTATATAAAAAGGATATAAAATCTAATCGGATCCACAAAAGGGAATTAATAAAGATGGTAAAGTAAAGTCTAGGGTATGATGAATTAAGGCGAGATTGGTGGCATTAGATAACGTAGCACACAAAGGGCTTACTGGGGAACAGCAATTTGATCTTAAGATTTCTTAAACCAAACCAATACCATTATAACTTCACCAAGAAAGATGAGTATGTTTCCTTTTTGTCACTCCACTTTTAACACAACGAAGTGTTGGTCGCACAAAATTATATCATTATTGGACTCTACCATCTGTCCGTTCGACAGATGAACACAGAAGATAAAAAGCTTAATTTCTCCACAAATATTAATTATTCATAAAGTTTGTTTTGTATCACAATACTAGCCTCGATATAAATGTACCCCCATGGGATTGGGGGTATGGTTAAAAATATGTATATTATGTAGAAATCGTAAGAATAATTTTACAGGGGTTATTTTATGTATCTACCCAAAATTCGTCATAAACAACTTTTATAAAAACTAAAATTTCCCCCCTAAATTTCTTAAGGATCACCATTGTTCCAACCCCAATTAACACCTCTCACTGAAAATCAGTTCGTTAATAAGTTGTTTAAAAAATAAAACAAAATTATGTTTTCTACGAAATTGATCACTTTCTCAAATGCTGTAAAATTTGATCCATAATTGAGCCAGGTCCCCATAAAAAGTCCAATATCGCCTTGATGCTTGAATATACAAAACATTTTGAAAGTTTTATGCTACCTCTTAATTTCAATTAAATTTTCATTGTGCCAAATATTTATGTAATATACTGTATTAAATTATTTGATAGTAACTTTGTATGAGTTATTAAGCAATTGCAAACGTTTTGTTTTTGTACTCAAATTCATGTAATATTGTACCGTATAATTCAAATATTAATTGGCACACTAACATTTTATAACAAAAATCCTAAATTACATCTAAAGATATTTAAAACATTTTTTTTTTTTGGCACAAATCATGCAACAATTTGAAATGCGAAACACACGCAAAACGTATTGTTCACATCTCACTTACTAAACTTTTAGCATTTGATAAATTTATAAATGTTAGTAATAACTTAAGTTAAAGTTAACTTAACCTTATTGTAACTGACACATTTCTTAAAAGAATTACTGGTATAAACATTGAAAATAAGTTTCAAACAAATGTCTGTATTAACAACTTGTGTTTGTATGTGTATATTGGAAATTTTCCTGGCATGACCATTTGTAATTGTTAAAATGTTAGTTTGACAGTTGTAACGTAAACTCGAAAACAAAATGTAAAACAAACTTAAAAGCAAGTAAACAAAAGAGTTTTGACAGTTTCAGGTTTTTGTGTTTTTTTTTTAGGAAAACTAAACAAAACAAAATATAAAGCAACAGGATTGGTTACAGTATAATTTAAAGAAAAATGAAACAAAAACAAAAAAGGAAAAATAAACATTTAATTTCAGACAGGCGCATGTCTTTAAACTCTTTGAAAGGTCAATATACAACTATATAATGCACAGGGTTGTTTATGAAATTGTGGATTAAGTGTTGAGTTTTTAAAATAACATCCAAACTGATTTTTACCCTTTTCCTTAACCATAAAAATATTTCAGTTTTTAAATTTGTTATTCTTTTAAATTTTACTCTTCTGATTTTTTTTTTGTAAAATTTAGGATATCACAGGAAACTTAATTTAAAAGTAAATTTAATAAATTCAAAGGGAATCGTAAAACAAGGATTTTTATACTCTACACCACTATAGTGGGGATGGTATTATGCGTTTGTGATGATGTTTGTAACACCCGTAAATATTGGTCCCATACCCACCTTAAAGTATAGTATACCTATTGGCTCAAAAGCACAGAATCCGTCTGTCCGTCCGTCCGTCCGGCTGTCTGTCCGTCTATGTG